GAAAATATTATATTAAATAATCAACGTTTTTCGCCGTTTTTGTTTTACGCTAAAGCTTAAAGCGAGACATGATTTTTATCGCTTACTTTAACTTAAAGAAAGGCCTTAAAAGTTGCGACGTTAAAGCTTACCACTATTAAGTAAATAAAAACCGCTTCAAAGGACCGGTACTAGTAGGTAGACAAGAAGAAGAAGTAATCTTACAGCTACTTATTAATAAGGTACTTACCGTATTCTTACGAAGAGCAATACTACCGAAGCGTGTGGCTGGCTGGCTACCGTAGTACCGGTACTGTAATACTGTACTACCTATAGTACTATAATAGGTAGATGGGTACGGTACCGGTGGATTCGTTAGCGTTTGGATAAGCGAGGTTTTCTGGCTAGAAAGTTAAGCGAATGGATAGTAAAGTAAAGAGGAAAGATAGAAAGGATAAATAGATAATCGTACCTTTAGTCGGAGTACTAGTCAAAAGCAAGAATGCGGTTCTTAGTACCCTTTAGTAATACGGTCAATTCTCAATAATAGTACTTTAAGTATATAACTTAATAATTAGCTAGTGCACGTGATTCCTTCTAATCGTATAAAACGAATCAGCTCCCTTAAACCTTAAAGAGCAATTAAAATTCAAATATCTTTACAACCGAGTGTTTTGCAATTGCAAGTACTTTAACGACCCTTACGAAATTACGAATATATTCTTTAATCGCTTAAAAGCAATTCAACACTAATCAATAGTTAATTTATTACTAAGTGATCAATCACAAAAAAGCTAAGAATACTTAATAGCGAAAATACTTTATACTTCGATACTTCCTTTCTTTTACAACGGAAAAGCGATTCCGTACCAAGTCGCTTATCTATACTACCGATTTACTTTTATTTTTACGGAAAAGTAATTCCGAATCAAGTCACTTACTACACTAATACCGTTATCGCTATAAAGCTACGCTAGCTATATATAATAACAAAATATCAATTGAGATCGACTTACATACAAACAAACAATAACTATAGCCGATCGAGCAACTAGACCTTAAAATAAAGAGTCTAGCCGATAAAAAGGAACGGAGTATTATACTTCTCGAGTCTTATCATTACTTACGGAACCTCTAGCAGTTCAGCCGAAAGGACTATTATATCTAAGGCTTCTAGACTTATCAAAAAGACTAGATAACGAGATATCGAGCATCTCTTTTGACTTAAACGAGCTACCGTACGCAAAGCCCGATAGCGAAATCACGGCACAAGCGATAGTAAAAGACTTCTTAAATACTAAATGCAAAAGGTTAAAAGACTACGACCTTCAGAACTTATTCCGATACGCTTTCTTACGCTAAGATTAAACGAGCTTCACAATAACGAGCGACAATCTAGTAAAAAAAGCTCTTAAGTTTATTACCTTCATTAAGCTTAAAGAACACTTGTTGTTTAAAAGCGTATAGTGCTACTTAAAGCAAAGAAGTTACGCTATAAGTGACCCGAATAGTCTTAACGACTTAAACGATAATCTAAAAAAAAGAAATAAAAAGAGAAGCGAGTAGAATAAGCACGGAAGAAGAGGAAGAGAACACGGTAGCCCGACAAAAGATAAGAAAATGAGCCGCCAAAGGACCTTAAACGAGACCTTAGACGAGGATACGGAACCTTCGGCGGACTTAGGCCAAACCGACCCTTTACCGGCACCCCTTTTTCGACCCGAGTATTAGCAAAGCATACTTACGGCACTCCGGGAGCCTTTAACGACGATGATTTCTTTAAGCTCGAAACAGCAAACCTACACTTAAAAGCGAAGGAATTAGCTTTATTTGCAAAGAGTTTTCTTAAAGAATTAAAGTATTCAAAGCTTAAAAACGATTTTAATACTCGGCTTAAGATTTTTACCGACGACGCGTGCCGATACGAGTTGATAATCGACGATTACTTAACTGCTTTCCTTATTATGCTTGTAAAAGAAGCAATTAAGTTTTATTATAATCACGTAATCAACGCTCGACTTCTTACGTTTAAGGAAAACGCTCTTGCGATAAGAGACTACTTTAAGACTAACTAACGGCGGCAAGCTAAATACGACCGTTAAAAAGAAATTTCCTTAGAATTGATTCGAAAGAAGACTCTCGCTAATTCGCTAGCTAAGTGCTTTAAAAAGCTCGAAAAAGAGCTAAAAGCAATGCAAAGAGCTCTTCGCCTAGTTTTAAAAGATGATCGAAGTCTCGCTAACAAGCTCTATTTAGCTTATAAAAACGTACTAGAGACGACTATAGCTCGGATGAACCCCGCTTTTACTTCTACCGCCGCAATTGCTAATATCCGCCGCGCAATTGCTTTTGCAACTAAGAACTTGCAACCTTTTCTTAAGATTAAAAGCTCACGACCTTCCTTTCAAGCAAGCAAAGCTTACGCGAGCTCTAGCGAGCCATTTGATCAGCACACCTTTTCTTAAACCTCTTCTTAATATACCTTAAGCAAAGCTGATTCTGACGACTTTAAGAACGAGTACGAGTGCTTCATTTAAAGCTGCTTATACGAAAGAAAGTACTGCGAGCACTTCGCAAATAAACGGGTAAGTAAAAAAAGATATTGCGATATAAAAGAAAAAAAGATTTTTAAAAAAAAAAAGCCTTTTTAAAAAAGAATTTTTCTTTGTTCTTCGTATTTAAATTTTTTTTTCTTTGTTCTTTATAAAAGAATTTTGTTCTTTATATCTCGTTGCTATTCAATACCTTCCTTTCTCGGTCGATATAGTAATTAGCAAAGCACTACTTACTAAAAAGAGAGTTGCCGATGTCGATATATCTATATCGACTTTATAATAGCTAGCTAATAATAGTAATTAAAAAAGTTCACTCATAAACTATAGTTCACGAGCCACTTAGCATGCTTCGCTTAATATACTATAGCTTAAGAGACCTTCAACTTGAGTACCGGTATATAACTTAATAGTTAGTTAGTGCACGTGATTCCTTTTAATCGTATAAAAGGAATCAGCTTTCTTAAACCTTAAAGAGCAATTAGAATTCAGATACCTTTACAATCGAGTGTTTTGCGATTGCAAGTACTTTAACGAACGTTACGAAGTTACGAATATATTCTTAATCGCTTAAAAGCAATCTAACACACCGCGTGTCTTTTGAATTAAGTTAAGAGATGCTATAAATCGAATCGACGGCGAATTTTTTTTATTTTTTTATTTATCTTTTTCAAGCTTTTTCTTAAGCTCTTTTTATCTAATAAATATTATTGTTAGATCGCCGGTAACGATCTCTTCGTAATATTCGTAAAAGTCGTGACGTCGTTAAAGTACCTGCAATTGCAAAACACTCGGTTGTAAAAGTATTTGAATTCTAGTTGCTCCTTAAGATTCAAAAGAGCTGATTCCTTTTATACGATTAAAAGGAATCACGTGTACTAGCTAACTAATAAGTTTACTAATCGAGTTAAAGATCCTTGGACTAGTATAACATGCTAAGCGAAGCATGCTAAGTAGCCCGTGAACTATAGTTCACGGGTGAACTCCTTTAAATACTACTAGCTAGCTAAAGTCGATATAGATATACCGATAAAAGCAAAGCAAAGCAAAGCAACGCAACGAAAAAGTAAAATAACTAAATAAATTAAAATAAATAAATACTAAAGAGTATTTAAAAAAAAAAAAAG